GTGAGTTTACCTGCACAGCACACACTAGCTGTCCTCGGTCACACCCACCCCCCTAAACCTCACCACCATCCGGGTCACGGCACCAATGCAACCCTGCCGGTCCTACACAACCCAACCCGCTCCAAGCTGGTATCGAACCGATTGAGCAGAACACTCACTATTGTCCTCTGAAGAGTTTCAGAACACTGCGCTGCACACGCCTGACCACTCCACACAACCACACTGACGGCCAGAACTGCTTCCCTGATGCAGAACTGCTTCATCTGAAGTGTCTTATGAAATACACACAGAGTCTGAGCGGCAACAACAAGAAGGTCTCTGGCTCCAGTCAGTTGGTGTTTCTGTGTGGAGTTTGCATGTTGGCGTGGGTTTCCTCCGGTTTCCACCACAGTCCAAACACATGCGCAATAGGAGAACTAGTACTGGATTGCGTCTGGATAGGAATCCGCTCTATAAAACATATGCTGGAATAGTTGGTGGTTCATTCCGCTGTGGCAACCCCTAATAATTAAAGGGACTAAGCTGAAGGAAAAGGAAAGAATGAACACACAATTCTGAGCTTTTGTTCTTCCGTCACACACACACACACACACACACACTCACATGCAGACCAGCTGTCTGTAAAAGAGCCGCACACAAAACATTATTATACCGGCCCGTACTCAAGACCCACCCCTCACTGACAAAGGTCCAGAATTTGTTCTGCATATGAGCTCATTTGTCCTATTTTGACTGCTGTGCCATCATAAATTGTGGACAATACCCATGAAAATAACCTATCGAAGGAGAGGGGTCTGGCTGCAGACCTGGTGCAGATGCAATCTGAGCTGCATACAATGCTTTTTAATGAGCTCACCTAACCCCGCCCGTCACAGTGACGTCACTCGCTCCATTTGCCATCCCAAATCCACTCTGCATCCCAAATTGTGAATGAGGACAGCTGAATGCGCTGGCCAGTTTGTTATTTGCCTATTAAATGACAATCAGCCTCAGTTTTTAATTTAAGTCTTTAACAAAGTCCTGTTTTTTTTCTAATAATATATCATGTGATGAGTTTGTATCTTAAAAATGACTATTGTTTTCATATTTCTTTATTCTAAATCTTTAGGAAATGTTTTTAGTACATTCAATGGTGTGGTTATTATGACCATGCGACAAGCTAAATGTGCCTAAAATGTCTGTAAAATTTAATATTTAAATAAAATTAAGTAGAATTATAATAGAAAATGAGGCAAATAACTGCAAAAATGTCCACTTTACAAAACAACAACGAATATACGGGCCTGTTATATTACATTCAGCACATCTGTGTGTGTGATAAAAGAGTGAGAGATGAGGACACACACACACACACTGACATCTGCTGGACAACACACACACACACACACACACGCAAATAATAATATTCATTCATTCATTTTCTTTTCAGCTCAGTCCCTTTATTAATCTGGGGTCGCCACAGCAGAATGAACCGCCAACTTATCCAGCACATGTTTTTACGCAGCGGATGTCCTTCCAGCCGCAACTCACTGGAAAACATCCACACTCACTCACACTCATACACTAGGGCCAGTGTAGTTGATCAGTTCCCCTATAGTGCATGTGTTTGGACTGTGGGGGAAACCGGAGCACCCGGAGGAAACCCACACCAACACGGGGAGAACATGCAAACTCCACACAGAAACACCAACTGACCCAGCCGAGACTCAAACCAGCGATCTTCCTGCAGTGAGGCAACAGCACTACCTACTGCGCCATCGCGTCGCTCACATAATAATAATAATAATAATAATAATAATAATAATAATGCTGAAAAATGATAGCTTTGGACACCAAATATGTTTCTGATATTATAGAATAACCCATTAACAAATCTTGCAATAAAAAATAATAATAATTAAAATATACATTCACATTTCTTTCAATCTTCACTGTTTGTACTGCATAACATTTGATCAGTTTAATGTTATTGTTTTTTCTATTTTTAACATCCTCCACTGCAGCTTATTCCCGCATTCATTTCAAAGAAGCGCCACCCTGTACTAAAATGGCGGCTCTATTGACGCATTCCTTCTAATAGACAACAACAGGGTAGGCGACATCTAATGTATATATCTATGGTTGGGCGGTAGCGTCGCTACTTTTTTAAATCAAATAGCTTTTCAGTAGCGGATCGCGGATCAGTAAGTGACGGCACTGACATTCACAGAGCTGCGAGGCCGGTGTCAAGCTGATGAAGTAAATCCATATGCAGTCCAGAATGACGATTTCTTCTTCTTCCCGTTTTACGGTGGTCGACAACAATCTATGTGGTGCGCTACTGCCACCTCTCGCTCTGGTCAGTGACGGCGCCAGCCAGTACAGTCTATGGCAGGGGATGGGCAAACTTGATTCNTCGAGGGCCGGGTGTCCNTGCAGAGGGGTGTTCCNACGCTAATCCAACACACCTGATCAAACTAATCAGTGTCTTCAAGATCCCTTGAACTCTAAAGGGGGGGCTGTTTGAATAAGGTTGGAACTAAACTAAGCAGGCACCCCGCCCTCCAGGATCAAGTTTGCCCACACCAGGGCCCGGTTTTTCAAAAGGTTTAATCCGGATAAAATTGATCCGGATTTAGTAATTCTGTTTTTGCGATCCGTGATCAGGTAATCCAGCTTGCTTTTTGAGCCAGTTTTTCAAAGCAACATCAGATTGGATCAATCTGATCCGGATAGGAACTTTTCAGGATCACTAAATCTGGATAACCAGTGCTCAAACAGGAGAGGACATCACAATGTAGAACTATAGATATGTAAAGAGCGACAAGTATAATAACCAGTGTGGGGCCAATATAACTTTATTTTTATTTGAAATGAAAACTAAGAAAATTTGATAATTATTAAAATAATAATAATAATAAATAATAAAAACAAGAAAAAGCCCACCCCATCCTCTTCCAGCAGTCCGCTCATCTGAGACCTACAACACAAACACTGTACATTGAGGATATTTATAATAAGTTTCAAATATAGATGTAAATAAAAAAAAGACTTAATGTCAAAAACTCCACAATAAGTTCAGACTTCCTCATCTGATGTGGAGAGAGCAGCTTGTCTGAGCGCAGCCTTTAGGAGGCGGATCTGAAGTCTGGCCTTGGTTTGCTGCAGTTTGGTCAGAGTCAGTTGTTTCTCTGCCAGATGAAGCTGTGCTTCTGCCCTTTCAGTCTCTTTTTGCAATTGTTGATAGTAATATCAAAAAACAGGCATTGCCATTCTTTGCATTTTTTTTTTTTGTTATTCTGTAATATTGCATGCATCACTAATAAATATTCTAAAAACAAAAATATTTTCCATTGTGCTGAATATATATATCAGTTAGTGACGGAATAAAATGTATTGTTTTTGGTCAGTTTTGACAGCTGTTTGGGGGATTATTTTATGAGGCCAAACTCTTTCTACTTTGCTGTAGGCCTATACTGAAAGGCTGAATACGTTAAAGCCAATAATCACTATAGCCTGACAGATGAACAAATAAAATTAAAACCTTATGAATAAATA